ACTTGATCTCTTTCCCTGCCATTCTCTTCATCACATCTAATTTAACCCGAGAGCGAAGTCTTGTATTAACAGCCCTTAATGTGAATAGCACAGCTTGAAAAACGAGTTGTTCCATCGCAGATGCCTAAGATATCCTGAATCATTGGCAGAAAATCTCATTATTACCTACATGCTTGTTTACCTTATTATTCTTTTATGGGTTTTCTTAGATGTCTTGCATCTCCTTTCAAGAGGAAAGATGGGATAAAAAAATCCCAAAGGTGATAGCAGTGATAACGGTGGTACAGAATGCCATAGCAGACAATGGATTGAGGGGGGATGTAATTTGATGTGTTTCACTGCGGCCGCTAAATCAGACCCTTCATGGGGGAAATGGCGTCAGTCTTTTTGCTAATCGCATGCTGTAACTCACCAGGCTGAATGATATCACCTGTGCAGGGCACTGGTATTTACCATCTTCTTGCAATAAATTACACATATTGAGTCCCTAATGACTCTCTTAACTAAGTGCCTGAAATGAAAAGGAAAAGCACTCTTCCGGGGCCGTTTAGTGTGCATGTGACTGCACTTGTATAACCTTTGGCTGTTGTCAAGAGAGCAAGCCCATGCATAACATCCAAGGCATGCTGGCTTCATTGATTAACATGTGAGGGAAGAAGGCCTTTGCTCTCTTTCACTCACTGTTGCGGAAAAGTACACATATGAAGCTGCCTTACCCTGAATTAGACTGTGTGTCCATCAAAGTCAGTTTTGTCTACTTAGACTGGCAGAGGCCCTCCAGGGTTACAGGTGGACAGCTTTCATGTTTTTCTTTAAACTGGAGATGCCGGGGATTGAGCCTGGGACCTTGTTCATGCAAAGCCAAGCCACAGACCCTCTCAAAAATAAGACATCAGTACATACAGTGGGCCTTGATGGGCATCTCAGGATCCTGTCTAGCAAGGAAGGGAGAGGCATTCTCCAAACGAGACCCACTCACAGTAGAGCCGGTGGTTACAGGTATGTGATTTGTTTCTGCCAGTGCAGTCCAGGCAGTTTACAGTTTCAAACGCTGAGAAAAAAACAGTTGTTGCGTTTTCTCAGGCTGTCGGTGGTCCCTTCAGGAACTCGTGGCGGGGCTACTACGATCTTGGGCTTGTTTTTCATTTCCATCTGAACACATGGATCTTTATGGTGAGGAAAGCTGAATTCTCTCAGGGTGCCAGGTAGACTTTAGGAGCAAATGGTAGGAGTGTCCTGACCTGGGATTCTTCTGTCAAGTCACAAGTGGATTTCTGTTTCTTCTCCAATTGACTTGACAAGAACCGTCGTCGAAAGCTGGCCGGTTTAATCCCTTCTGTGAGGCAGAGCCCATTTTGGTCTCTGCCATCACCCCCTCTCTGCTCAGTCGGTACAGTCCAGAGGGCAGGACCCCAGAAGCAGAGGGCAAGTGCACAGCGGAGCAGCACTTAAAGGATCAAGTTGCTGAAGAGGTTCAGGGACTGAAGGAAGCCCATCCCTGCCATGCTCCGGCTGCACTCTTCAGACAGCCTTTTCCTCATGGTTCCCCCTCTTCTGACTGCCTGTCTGGTTAGGCCGTGGGTTTTATCCGTGACAGGTCCATGGCCGCGGAATGTGTAATCAAAGTGGGCGCAGTGGGCACCTCCACCATCTGCCCTTAGGAAGCCACGTAAGAGAGTTCTGTTTCAGAGGGTGCCTTGGGGAGGGCAAACCGTTTTGGCAGACCTGGCTGCGTTTTTTTTACCTGTGCTTGCAAAAATCTTCTTCATCGACTGTTTATGTTGGTGCCTTTGCAGCGGATTATTGTTCTGTTCACTGCCCTGCGTCCAAGGCGGGAGATGAATATTTTTAATTACAGTAAATAAATGAATCTGTGTTGCATGGCAAAGTTTTAAAAAAGGAAAAGGTCACTTGGTAGGTCCCCCCAGGACGAGTCACTGCAATCCAGGTAGGGGGGCGTAATGTGTGCTGAGGAACCATTCACTCGCATAGGGGCAGGGCATGCAGTTCGTGCCTGGTTCCGGCGGCCAGGCCTGTATAGGTGAAACTCCCAAGACTGGAGCCGGAGGTGGTTCTCCTCACCTCATCTCATCCTGAAGTGCTTGTCCAAGGCTACTCATGCGCAGACCCGGCAAGTGCACAGGCGTGTTGCTGGATCAGGACAAATATCTGTCATTAAAACCACTGCAACTGAAAAATATTAGAAAACCAGGAAAGGAAACCGAGTTTTCATGCCAACTCCTTTGTTTATTACTTGTATGTTGCCTAATCTGATTATGTAACCAGTTGTTATGGCAATGCAAACAATTTATGACTCAGCTAAGTTACCGGTGCAGGAGGCATCGAGGGAACCTCGTGAACTTTGCAGCACCTCCTGTGGGCAAGTAACCAGTTGATTTGTTGCTGGGGAGATCCTTCACTTCCTGGTTAGATTACAGCAGAGGAGATGTAATTTCCCTCACTTTTTTATGCCAGTCTGAAAGATATCTGAATTTACATCAGTTTTGCAAGACAACACGATAAAGAACAGTAATAAAGAGCAGTAATAAAGTTTTTTAATAAGTACCCATTTGTGTCTACAGCTTGAGAGCTTAACCTCCTGTGTTTCTGTTAATTCAGTAGTTATTATTGTACTATCTGTACATGTTCTTTTCATCTGTCTATCTAAACATAAATAAATATAAATTAATATAAAACAGGTAAATATTTTTAAAAGGTTTAAAGTAATTTATTAAAATACTGTTAAGTCAGAATCCAGACTCTTTCGACAGTCCAGTTCTGTGGGTTTACTGTGAGAGGAACTATTAAACCACTTCTGATATTACGCATCATCTTCATTCAAGAAATGGTAATTCTCACACATTACTACTGGGGTGGACTCCGTCCCCCTCCAGAAGAATTGCTCGTAGCAATGCTTGCTTCATTCTCCCTCCCCTCCCCCCATTCCCCCATAGATCTCTCTCACATTGTGTGAGCAAGACCGTGGCATGCAGGAAATGCAAACAAAAATGCATCACTTCTTAGTACTGTGGGGTATTTATTGTTAAGTCAGGATGAGACAGCTAATAAGCAATGTGATAGGACTGCGAAAATCTGAGCAAAGCATAAGTACTGAACATAACATGTTAAATAAGCAATAAAGTTAAATAGGATTCAAAAGAAGATGAAAAAGGAGTCTCTTTAGAACTGGACATTTCTTTCAATGTTAAGTGAGAAGAAGGTTTTCTTTTTCAGCTGCAGAACAATGTTTATTTATTTAATTCATGTATACCCCACCTTTCTCCCCCGTGGGGGCCCAAAGCAGCTTGCGTCATTCTCCTCTCCTCCATTTTATCCTCACAACAACCCTGTGAGATAGGCTAGGCTGGCCCAAGGTTTCCCAGTCAGCTTCCATGGCATGAGTGGGGATTCAAACTTGGGTCTCCCAGATCCTAGGCCAACACTCTTAACCACACTGGCTAGTCATGGGGCACTAGTTTCTCTTCCAGATCATGTGCTACTTGCACACACTTTCCTTCCCTCATGGCCATTCCCACATACACTGCACCACTGGAGAACTTTTTATCCGCTTTTTGTTTAAAATGACAGTTGCTTTATCGTAATACTGTGTTGTCAGCTTCAGTTCTGGGTCAGTGGCTGACTCAGTCACAAGGCCCATTAACATTGCTGGCTTCAGATAGCTTCACTTTGCCGCACTTATAGTTAGTAGATGATGTCTGAAGCAGCTTTGCTGTTTGATCTTTAAAGGGTTGCATTACTGCTAGAAATCTTTGCTTTGAGAGAGACCTTTTGGACAGGTTCTCAAAATGGACCTCACTGTTTAGTTATGTTATTTATAGTCCTTCTTTCTCACTGAGACTCATGATGGATTACACAATGCAAGTTAATGCAATCAGTAGGATGAGACAGCTAATAAGCAATGTGATAGGACTGGGATTGCAAAAATCTGAGCAGAGCATAAGTACTGAACATGACATGTTAAATAAGCAATAAAGTTAAATAGGATTCAAAAGAGGAAGAAAAAGGAGACTCTGTAGAACTGGACATTTCTTTCAATGAAGAGAGCAGAGTGGGACAAAGACCAAAGCCATGATGGATTTCAAGCAAAAATGTGGGCAGTGGCCTGTTGGACATTGAATGGCAGTGAAAATTCCAAACAGCTGAGAGGTATCTTCTTTGTGAGGGGTGTATCAAAAGTCATGGCTTGCCTTCCTTTCTAGGTACTGTAAGAATGATGAATAATATCTAGCCTTCTTCTTCTCTCCCCTTCCCCTCGACTTTCTGAAGCAGAGGAACGTGGTGGTAGCTGGTCAGGGGAAGGAAAGAAGAAAAATGACTGCCCATCAGTTTTCCCTCTAAACTGAGTTAGTGTGAGCTAGCTCACAGTTTTTTAGCCTCCGGCTCACCCATTTTTGTCCATGCTCAGGAAGGATGGCTCCAGGGCAAACTAATTTATGCAGCAGCCAAATCACTCGCTCACAGCTTTAATGCCAGTAGCTCACAAAGTAGAATTTTTGCTCACAAGACTCCATAGCTTAGAGGGAGCACTGCTGCCCGTATTCCTGTCCTCAGAGTCCACTGCCCCAGATGATCAGAGGAGCTAGCCATGGCCTAGTTTTTGAGTCAAGCAATGAAGCTGTTTGGCATTCCCAGTTGGAGACGTAAATAAGGAAGACCTGGGGTTCCATTTTCAATAGGCACGGAAGAGACTGAGGTGTTGAAAGCTACTCCAGGAAAACTTAATACGCCATCCCCATTGATGCAGACAGTAGCACTTCCTGACCGAGTAAACGTACAGATATATCTGGTCCTCTGGTAACATTGGTGATTAAGCATTGGTGAATGAACTGCCACATACATTGAATTAACTGCAGTTTGTTATCTGGGATGGACGTGAGCCGTTATCTCCTACAGCAGTTGGTGACATATTGACGCTGCCACTTTGGCAAGCTGCATATTCATAGGAAATGAACTTGGGCTGCTTCATTAACTGGCCATTTTATGAGGGCCTTTTTGTCACAGGAAGGTGTCGACATCTCATTTGGTGATACAGATAGCGGTCCTTCCTTCAGTGTTTATGCCATGGAAAGACTGAGCCTAATGAGCCCATCTAAGTCTGAGACACCCGTCACTGTAGGAAAACAGCAATCTGAACTGTGGTTTACATCTTTCCAGATATAGACTACTCAGCAGGAGGTGAGAAGCATGCAGGGAAATCCTAGCACAGTTGTTTGAAAACAAAAAGTGTGAAAATGAGTCTTACTGACAAGTGTGAGTTAAGATATTACCAGTTTTGCTTTGGGGCTTTATGGAAGATCTGGTCATAGGCGTAATCTAGTGCCGAAAACATTCTTGAACATGATTTTTGTGCTATTTAGATGCTTCATCTAGCAGGATGAACGGAAAAGCCGGAGTCTTGTGGTTAGTCTGTGTTCTCCCCATCTGCCTCTCTTTGGCCTTGGCGAGCTCGTGAAGAGATGACTCTGCTTATTTCCCCCTTACTTTTCTCCTTGATTGCTGTGGTTTTTGGGAAGCTATCCCAGTCCACCCCACCCCTCGTGATGACACCCCTTGCCTTCTGTCTAGGCTGTCGCTGTTGATGGATTCCTAATGGGGGCTGACTGAGCTGGCTTCCCAATGCTGAAGCTTGTATGTGGGTGGTAGTGACAGACAGGGCCAACAAAGGGATGTAATGATAACATTTATAACGCACCTCTGACTGTGCTGTACAACCATTACGTTAACAAGAACCGACCATGCTTGCAGGAGTAGCCGTTAAAAAAAAATTACCACTAAGGAGGGGGGAAGAAAAGAGGCAGAGATCAGAGGTTAAGGGAGAAGAAACATGTGTGTAGGCAATTGGTTCCAGAGAAAGGGGGGAAATGAGGGCCAAAAGGATGCAGGCAAGAAAAAGAAGGAACCCTTGATTTTGACATGAGAAAGATATAAACAGAGCAGCAACAATGAGAAGGCAGAGAACTAGAGATAAGAGAGTTGAGATGAGAAGAAGCTCAAGATTGCAGCCACATCAAGACTTGTATATTTCCTCAGCAGGGCAAGTAGTAGCTCCCTGGAGCCATGTCGGATGGGGAAAACGGGGGGTGGGGAGGCTTAAAATGGTACCGTGTTGTACCATAGTCTTAATTGGAACTGTCCCCTATGGTGCATGATATTTCAGGCAAAATGCACTGTGAGCTCTGCTCATGGAACTCCCCGCATCAAATGTAGATCTGTCCTTGAAAGGAAGAAAACAGGAGTGAAGATAGTGAAGGAGTTAACCACGACTGAGGAGGGCCAGATGATAAGAACCGAGAACAAGTGGAAAGGTTGAGAACAAGCCAGACTAGGGGCATGACGGAAGTGTGAGAGAATTGAGAAGTTCCGGAGCCATGCCTGGTCACAAAAAGAAATGATCTTAGGGCCTGACTGCACATTGCATTTTCCTTGGGGACATCCCTGTGTTTGCTTGAGATGTGTTGAATCCTGCACTTCCCAGCTATGTTTAGGCCCAAATCAGATTGGGATCATAACACGTAGAGGGAGCTTAGACCTCCCCCTGTGCCATTTCCCCAACCGGAATCGACCCCAGGAGCTAAATGTTTGCCCTGGTGGGAAACATAACTTCAGTGCAGTAAGGCAAATAACAGCATTCCAGGGTTGTTCCTGGTCAGAATAGTAGCATGATGGAAGGTCTAAGTTCCCTCTCCTTGTACATCACAGTCCTGATCTGAATGGGGCTGACACATGATAGGGGAGTGTGGAACTCCAGAATACATCTCTCGAGCTGATCCACCCAGGGGTATTCCCAGGGGGAAAGGTAATGTGTATTTAGGCTCTTTGAAAGAGAGAGGGAAGCTAGGAATAGGCCACCCATTCAGCATCCAGGGTAGAGGGAGGATTTGAAGCCGTGTGTCCCAGGTCCTCACCTGGCACTCTAACCACTATGCCATGCTAGCGTAATCCCCTGAGCTGGCTCAGAATACCATGTTCTGGGGAAACCAGTTTATTGTTTTATGACATTTTAGTTGGTTCTCATGGTGCTTTTGGGCATAAACCAGCCTGGCGGTCACAGTCTTATATGGAGACAGTTCTTATCAATAAGTTATCGAAATGGTATACAAATTTAGACTACAGTGTAGACTAATGCTGAAGGCAAGCTAGAATATGTTGTGCAGATGGTAACAAGCCAGGCAGGTTCCAAAGCAGCCAGGAACCACCCCAGAGAGCCACTTATTGCAAAACCAAATTCTGGGCCCACAAGCCAACCCAGAGGTAGGCACTGGTTTCATTGGGCTGGGTCTTGCTCACTGCTGTACTGGATTGTGGCCTGGGTGTCATCTGTCTGAGCAATAGGGTAGCCTGTAGCAATGTCCCTCTGTCATGT